GCAAGGCTAAGCCATGATTTCAGCTTCACTCTTAATTTTCCAGCTGTTGGGAATTCCTTGAAATATAAAGGCTTCTATCTATAGGCAGTTACAGACAAAGCAATGTTTGTTAACTTAGTGATTGACTGTGGAGTGAAACTTTTCGTCTTGATTCTACACTTAAAATAAACTCAGCAGAAAATGAGTTCCCCAGATGGGGTGGAAGAGCAATTCCCAACCTGGAAAATGCTAGGTTGGAGAAGAAGACCTGACAGGGGGTGTCAACGGCCCCAAAATAACTTGATTTGAAACCTGAGATATTTTTGTTGGTCATTCTACCCGAAAAAGATGACAAAAAGACTTATGTATCTGGTCTTACATATATTAACTGCAGCTAGAATTGTACCCTGTTTCCCCGAAAATAAGACCTCCCTGGATAATAAGCCCAATTAAGACCCTGTCTTATTTTCAGGGAAACGTGGTATTTGCGCAACAGTGGAAAAATGATGAAATACCGCCAGATGAGAATATAATTAAGAAAATATTAAAATGCGCAGAAATGGAAAGATTAGCACTCATTAAGGATAAAGAAGAAACTGAATATTTCTTGACATGGGAGGTATTTTACCAATGGTTAGACAATAGAAACAGAAGTTAGAAGGGAAAGAGAGAGAGAGAGAGAGAGAGAGAGAGAGAGAGAGAGAGAGAGAGATGAAATGTTAATGTGGAGAGAATTTGATGATGAAGATGTTATGTACTATTGTAATTGTATTTTTTTAAATAGATTTTTATTATTTTTACATTTAAAACAATGCAGTATCGCGAAGTTGAAGTGACCATACATTCACATTATATACAACTAGTCTCAACCATTAAACTATTAGCCTACTTAGTACATTGCCTATCCTTCTGTCCAATCACAATATATACAGTTTGTTCCAGTCTTGTCATCTTGTCTTATACCAATCATAAAATCTGTTCCAGATTTCAAAAAATATTCTGATTGCCCTTTATTTTTAAGTTCAAGAGTGAGCCTATCAGCTTCCGCACAGGCCAACACTTTTCTGATTATATCTAGTTCTTTTTTCTTTTTCTTTTTTCCAATACTGTGCATAAGTTTTGCGCACCGCAGTTAGTACATGTATAATTAGATAAAGAATATCTTTCTTAAACCCCTCCGGTATTATGCCTAGGAGAAAATTTTCTGGTTTAAATAAAATTTGGTCTCCCACCATTTGTTCTAACCATGATTGAATCACTTTCCAATATTTTTTGCCTCATTGCATGTCCACCACATATGATTAAAAGTGCCTGGTGCTTTTTTTTACACTTCCAACAATTTGGGGCCAGATTTTTAAACATTTTGGAGAGCCGTGCTGGGGGGAGATGCTATCTGTAGAACATCTTATAAAGATTTTCTTTATACGCCGTTTATATGTACTATTGTAATTGTATTGATATGTAGTTATATTATTAATAGTATTGTAATGAATATTATAACAAATATGGGGATTTTGATTGTTTAGAACCCAGATCTCAAACTGTTCGGTGGGAATGGAATGTAAATAAAACAAATAAAACTTGGGGGAAAAACAAAACTTGACAGGATCTTTGGGAAATGGCGATGGATTTAACAGCAAATTATAGTTTGATAAATTAATATTTGCTCGGAGCTTCTACAGTATATGTAGTGAACTTTGCTTTCAATTCCACTGTCCTTGGAAATAATTTAGTCTATTCTTAGGTATTCTTAATCTCTTAATAGGACTACAAATTCAAAGTGCCTTGGCTTGAGAGATACAGAATAAAAATACCTCCACGGTTGGTCCTTTTTTTTTTTTTTTTTTTTGACGCTCACTGATGATATCAGAGCAAAAACCTTTTGACAGGTTTATTCCTCCCACATTTCTCACATTGAAACATGCCTGCTGGAAGAAATGTAAGTCTTACTAAGCGACATCTGGGTTTACAGTTTAAAGGCTATTCCCCTTACAGTACTCTACCCCACAAGCTCTCTGTGGCTGAGCAGATGTTGTTGAACCACGGCTCCTAACATCCCCAACCATCATGGCCAATGAAATTAAATTGGAATTGAAATTCGGCAACAGGACAAGTTCCCATCTCAATCATTTAAACCGGTTTGTGCAGAAATGTGTCTCGCTGTGTATCACAGCTGGGTTCAGGTTTAGAAGGATATACCAGAAGCCGACAGCCACTAAGGTTGCTAGCAGTTTTTCTTAGAGGGTACATGACTGGAAGCAGTGCCAATCTCTGTTAAAATGAGAACAATCTGGAGTACATAACTTCTTTCCCCCTTCTCATTCATAAGGAGAGTTAAATCCCTTTCGTTTTAGACAGAAGTTTCTTTGTTCCCTAAACACGGTTGTGTTTGTTTTTCGAGACCTTTCCCAAATCCATGTTCCTTTTGTTTATATTATACATTATATCTGTATATATAATAATAAATTAGCATCATGTTTGTACACAGAGGAGGCCCAAGACGGCTTTTTGTTTAGAAATTCCTTTCCAGATTTTAATGTTGGTCACATAAAAGACTTATTTAATTAATTATGAAAACGGCTGTTAATATTACACAGTGGGGCAGATGGTGGTCCCTATTGGATTATTCATGCTTCTAGCAGGCAAACCCTACAAGAAGGGCCATAAATTGCACACTGCATGAACATATTCAAGTAACTTTTAAGTACCGTATTTTTTTCGGACTACTATAAGATGCACCGGAGTATAAGACGCACCAGGATTTTGAAGAGGTAAATAAAAAAAATTTTTTTGCACTCTGCATGCTTCCCAAACCCTTTGCATGCCCCGTTTTTTGCAAAAAAAATGGGGGGGCATGCAGAGCTTTGGGAGGCTTGTAGGGTGCTGGGGGATGATAAATGAGCAAAATACTCCCCATTTTTCACAAAGGAGAAGGTGCGTCTTATATTCTGAAAAATACAGTAACTGGAACTTCCAAAATGAAATTCAATGGTTTAGGCCAGGGGTGTCAAACTTGTGTCGTCACGTTGCCGTCACGTGATGTATCGTGACTTTCCCCCCCTCTTCGCTAAAATGGGGGTGGGCGTGGCTAGCATGTGACGCATCTGGCCTGTGGGCTGCAAGTTTGACACCCCTGTTTTAGGCATTCAAAGACATTCAGGCAAGAAAAGCCAAATGCACAGGTATAGAATAGGTGATACCCGACTCAATAGCAGTAACTGCGAGAGAACTGGACAATCACTTAACTATGAGCCAGCAGTGGTGCTGCAGCCGCTAAAAGTGCCAATACAATTTAGCAATTAAAAGTATTGGAGTGGGCAAGAGATGATGGATGGATGAATTTTCTTTTTTGTTGCTGTTACATTTTGCTTCTCCTTTTCTCTCCCTTTGTTTATTGTTTTTTTTTTCTCTAAGTAGGTGGCATGATTAGAAATTAGATGGGAAAGAAAGGAGAAGTCTTTTAATAAAGGGCGACATGATTAGAAGCTAGAATAAGTGATAGAAATAAGATTAGTGTATACATTTTTGTATAATAAAATGGAAGTAATAATAAGGTAAAATGTGGAACAATTGAACAATGATAGATTGTAACCTAATATAACCGTGTATTATTACTAGAAATACATAAGTTGACTGATTGTAATAACTATGATTAACTTTATTAGTTTTATTTGTATTAGAATATATGACACCCAGCTGCCACACTGTTCGCGCGTTGATTTGATATATTTATTAAAAAAAAACTATATTAAAATAAAAGCCAATGCAATCCTAGGTTACAGTTAACAGAATCGAGATCACGTGAGGTATTAGTACTTCTTTATAAAGCCTTAGTAAGACCCCACTTTGAATATTGCATCCAGTTTTGATCGCCACAATATAAAAAATGATGTTGAGACTCCAGAAAGAGTGCAAACAGTGTGGCAGCTGTGTGGCAACAAAGATAATTAGGGGACTGGAGGCTAAAACATAAGAACAGTTGCAGGAATTTGCTTTTCAATGAAAAGAAGAACATGATAGCAATGTTCCAATATCTCAGGGGTTGCCACAAAGAAGAGGGAGTCAAGCTATTCTCCAAAGCACCTGAGCATAGGACAAGAACCCAGAAATAAGGAGAAATATCCTGACAATGAGAACAATTAATGAGTGGAACGGCTTGCCTTCAGAAGCTGTGGGTGCTCCATCATTGGAGGTTTTTAAGAAGAGATTGGACAACCATTTGTATGGAATGGTATAAGATCTCTCTCCTGCTTGAGCAGGGGGTTGGACTAGAAGACCTCCAAGGTCTCTTCCAACTCTGTTCTGTTATTCTGATTTGTATTTACATATGTATTCTTACCCTGGTAAATTGGCAGAATAATTATTGAGGGTGAGCAATGGCCCTTTTTTTAAGGAGAACACTAACCTACCGTATAAACAATATCTTAAACGCTCTTGAAATTTCCCCTTTAAAACTGTTGGCTCGGCCTGCCTCCAAAATGTATTAGATAGAAAATTGAAATACCCTTTGTCCATCAGGAAAAAGTGGCCTTTAAAGAGGAAATCTGTATTTGAAGCATATTCCCAGCTCTCATAATTGGTGGCTAGTATACTAATGTGTTAAAAACATCTCAGAGGAAGCTGCCTTCTGTAGTCTGTCTAAACATGGGATTTATTAGTTCGATGCAATCTCAAGGTGAATTGCTGCCGATTAGAGACACCTGCTGGCAGAATGTTTGAACTCTTTGGCAAATGTTGAAAGGAGAAATCAAAACACCCCCCCCCCCAAAAAAAAGCTGGGCTTTTGCTAAAACTGGCTGAAGCTGCTAATGTCATTTGGAATGTTTTTTTTTTTCCCCGTCTTTCTGTTTGCATTACGTGTATTCTTGAAAAGCTATAACCTATCATAAAACCCCAGGAAATGCAGACATATTATCCTAAGCTGGACTGATTGGAAGCCTGCGAGGAAATAAGCTGTAAAGGCTGCGATATTGGAAATTGCCTCCACAGTAAGGCTGTTCTTGGTTACTCATATCCCAAATATGTGTCTTTTTCTTAATTTCAGAAACAAGGACGGTTTGAAAGGATTTACATTCTCCGCACTTAAGTAAGTGAACCCAACCAAGTCTCTCTTTTGCAGCCTGCCTGACCAACTCAGATGGAGTGAAATTTTGGACAAATTTAATCTGCAACACACAAGCAACAACACAACCCCATACGGCAGAATGTGGCCATTCAGAAATGGAGAACCAGAGCCCTGGCAAAACTTTTCTTTGAATTGCAGTGTGAATGTCATCAAACCACTTCTCCAATACTAATTGGGTTTGAATTAAATGAAATCCGCTTTAGTTTTCCAGCTCTGTGTATTTTCTGGATTGTATCTGTGCCTCTGAACCTAGAGAACAAGCGGAGCCCTCAATCCAAACAAGATTATGGATGGGGAAAGGGATGGGGGGGATTAAATAGTATGCAAGACACGTGTATTTAAGTTTCTTCTCAAAGGTGCCTAGGCTGCTCCTAAATTTTTAAAAGATTAGGAATATCTCTTTCGGGGATTCATTTTTTACTGATGTTTTGAGTGAGATGGCAATCATCTGAATTTGACAGACAAATATTTTGTGTGGTGGGGGGAGGGAGGTATAGAATTTCATTTCAGGTAGTCCTTGACGTACAACATCATTGAGCCTGGAATTACACTCGTAAATTGTGTCAGTCGTTAAGAGAGTCAGGATGTGACTATGTCTGAATTTACAACCTTTTTGAATCTCTGCGTTCATTAAGCAAACACCATGGTCATTAAGGAAAACCAGTCTCTGCAATGGGTGGGGTTTGTTTTTTTTGACAGACACCGTAAATACACATCAGTTTCTGGCAGTAGGAGTCATAGATTGGTGATGTGACTGTGGGATGCAAACAGACCAAAATTTGATCACGTGACCATAGGGGTGGGAGCATCAGAACTTTGAATCTGGCTCATAAGCAACCCTTGGGAGGTCACTAAGGTTTGAATAGTCACTAAGTGACCGGTCATAAGTTGAGGACTATTTGCATTACGTTCTGGCAATTCACTTTCCTCATTTCTGTATTGGATGGCCACAATAGATAAAGTTGTTATGACATCATTTAAATGTAATTAAAAATGATTTAAAAACAGACATTAGTATTGGTACATGTTTCATATATAGAGAAGTACCTTATTTTTTGCTCCATAAGACATACTTTTTTGTCTCCCAAAAGTGGGTGGAAATTTCTGTGTATCTTATGGATCGAATATTGCTGAAGCCCTGCCCACCCACTGGCCCCCACCCTTCAGCCATTTTCGGCCTCCGCGTGCCTCATTTTCAGCCTTTGCGCACTCTGTGAAGGAGGCCGAAAATGGGACACGCAGAGGCTGGAAACAAGGTGCGCGGAGGCCGACAATGGGAGTGCATTTTATGCTCAGGCGTGTCTTATGGAGTGAATAATATGGTGCATTCTTTTTTTAACTTTCCAGACTGTCCTGTCATCATCATCAATATATTCACAATAGAATATTAACTCTTATAATAAGCATATAAGGCCTCTTGGCTAAGATCAAGTGTATACTCATAATAAGCGGGGCTTCCTATTTTTGAAAAATAACACATCGTTTCGTTACGTATGTAAAGCTAACAAGTCAGGCAACAAGCTAATATGTTAAAAACCTTACCATACTAGGTTTAAACTGTAAATATTCCATCATGCAATATAACCAGAAGCCGTTGCAATGTATGTTATAAAAGGAATAGTGGGGCTCAGGTAGCTTAATAAATGTGTCCTGTTTCCTGATCAGATTCATTGTAGGGAAAGAAGAGATTCCCACCCATTCGTATGTACCAGAAGGAGCTTTTGTAAAGAAAGAAATTGAAGTACAACACTGCGAAGATAGAACACAGCAAATGAATTTTATTGCGACAACAAAAAAAATTGTGGACAACATGTGAGTGCAAAATGTTAATTCTTTCTAATGCCTGTTTTCATCTGTACCTTATCTTGTGCAACGGTAATGTTACACTGCCTCTTTTTTTAATATATTGACCCCAATATTTGTGCTGATTAACTGATTTACACACCTTTCTCTGCTTCTGTTATATAACAGTAGTACTTAGCCATATATACTGCTTTGCAGTGCTTTATAGCACTTTCTGAGCGGTTTGCAATGTCAGCATATTACCCCTAACAATCTAGGTCCTCATTTTACGAACCTCAGAAGCCTCCGGAGGGCAAAAACCTGTCCAACGTGCAAACTGGAAGTCCGTTCCCGAACCGGTTTGCTCATTGGGTGGTTTTTGCCCTTTGGAGGCTTCAGGGAAGCCTCTGGAGGATGAAAAACAGCCCATTGGGCAATCCGGAAGTCCATTCCCGACGGACTTCCTTCCGGATCTACCGGAAGTCGGAAAACCTCCATTTCCGGCCTCTGGGGGGGGGGGGGGGCCATTTTCACCCTCCCCAGGCTCCAAAAAAGCCATGTGCGGTGCAGCGGGAGGGGGAGATGTCACGTGCACATGGGCAGGGGGCATGGTGCCGGGGAAGGCATTAAATTATGGGCGTGGGCACGTGTGCGATAGCGCACACATGTGGGCTTTTGGCACCCAAGGCGAAAAAGGTTCATCATCACTGGTCTAACGCTTTAAGGCACAAGAAACCAGGAAAGTGTCAGTTCTAACATTGCTTTATACATGAAATTATGCTGAATGACTTTGGGCAGTTTCTCAGTCCAACTCACCTCCCAAGATTAATTATTGTGGGGGAAATAGGAAGAGGAAGGAGTGCAGATTATCCTCAGTTTTTCACCACATTTGCGTTCCACTTTTCCATTGGTAAGCAACACAATTGTTACGTGAGTTTTGTTCCGTTTCATTTGCCACAATTGTGGAAAAACTGCGGTTCTTAAGTTAGTAACATGGTTGTTGAGGGAATCTGGCTTCCTCATGGTCAGATCACAAAAGGTGATTAAATGACCCCGGGGCACTACAACCATCATAAATACATGCCAGTTGCCAACCATCCGAATTTTGATCACGTGACCATGAGGATGCCGCAATAAGTGTGAAAAATGGTCATACACTATATTGCCAAAAGTATTCCCTCACCCAT